GTCGAGGGAAGAAGGGATTTCAGTCGTATTTCCAAGGCGACAATGGCGAACCTCCCCGCTCCTCGGTCATTATCTTGCCGCCTTGCCACTCGTAATCGACGTCTAATTCCGAGCAAGTACAATATTGATTATACGGACATGAATCGATGTCCGATGCTCGGAGCTTCTCTGGCGAGGAGCAAACCGCTTGACACCCCGTGTAATTCCATGCCAGACCACTGGATAATACGAAATTTATATTCTCATCGTGGTTTCCTTGCGAGAACGTACACGAAGTACAGACCACCCTGTAATTGTCACGATCGTCGGTTATTGCGGCTAATTAACGCTCGTCTGCCTCTTGTCGATTCGACCTCGTAAGTATACCTCTATCTACTTCTTCTTTGAAAAACTTGTCTCTCGCAACTTAAGAGGCAATTATGTATTTTAGAGTAAATTTTGAGTAACAGAATTTTGCTAAACGCATCTGTTCCCACAAATTACGATCTAGTTAATTAAAAATTATACACTATCTGTATCGCAACTTTTTAAACGATCGATAGATCAAAGATTAAATACTTGTTCAATCATCGTATATATATCGATTACATCATAATTCGACTGGCACGCGATTATTCGCGTGATTAATGGAAGTTAATGCGACGTCGGAGCCAGTCTTTGAGCGTACACTTAACAAGACGAAGCCGATGCATTTGTCATTCGTTAATTGCCGGCAATGAGGCTATCATTCGCTCGTAATTGTTGATGGTTTTTTAAGTCTCCGCGACGTTGGTGAACCGAGAGGACACAGATTAATGGATAGTTGTACGGGATCGATGGCGTAACCGCAGAAGAATCGATCGAAGGCTCGTCGATGGGGAACGGGATAAATGGGCAAATGGAACAGTAGAAATTTCACCGGTAGATAGATAAATTGACAGGGTATAAAGAGGAAAGGAAAGGGTCGAGACGTAGTTCGGAAGTGAGAAATTCTCGCGGCACGACGACAGAACTTCCCTCGCACTTAACCGCGTCTCCTGAAACTTTTCAATAAAGCGCCACTCGCTTTCCATATGTTCCAAGGGAGCGCAAAGTTTTCGGGCACTATCGTTCCTACGCAACATTTGCCGGATTCCCCGCGTGACACCCCTACGAACGTCGAGGATTATCATTCTTGATATTCTTACTGAAAAGTTTCCCTCCGGACCGTGAAAACCGCGACGAATAAAATTAGCCGATCCACGCGAATCGATCCGCCTCTTTTATATTTCATTTCATTCGACTCTTTCAGTCGTATCTTTTCAAAACAATCCAAATAACCACGGAATGGAAGGTCCATTTATGTTTTCCCTCCTGCAAACCAGCAACGAGATAAATAATCTTTTCCGTCCATCGTGGACCCGCGTAACGACCTCTCCTTCCTGTTCCGTATTCTCCGCGAACGTTGGTGCGATACCGTCGGGCCGCGTCGGCCCGAGTGGTACCTCTAACTGGCACCGCCGCTAATTGCCGTCCGTATAATTACCATATCGGCCAGATAAATATAGGGCTCTTACCTTCTGCCCACGAGACAGCCAGCGACGTTTACGTCCATTACGTTTAAAGTCCTCCTCCTCCTCTTGTCGGGCGTGCGGCTGAAAGATACAGCAACACGACAGACTGAAAAAGGGGCGTGTAACAATTTGCGAATCCTTCTTTTATTCTGATCGAGAGGAACTTGACTGCTCATTATTCATTAGACTGCTCGAAGATTTATGTTCCCTGTTGCATCGGTAGGTGTAACACTTATTGATATTTCATTGAGTGATTTATGTTGAATGCCTCGCAACGGTTGAAAATTGTAGATTTTCTATTATTACCATGATCGATCACCAGATTAATTATCGTCAAATTTGGTAGCATTATTGTTTAACGTTTAAACAGCGACATTCGAAAGGCAGGCAAAGTAAAACGTTGCCAGGTACAAAGGCCTTAATGGCTGTCCGACCTTTTACGAATCTTCCCCTTTTTCTTTCCGTTCGCAAATACGAACGATAAATACGCGCGGTGACAGGATACAATTAAAAGAAGCTATTCCAACGAGTCCTTTGTCAGGATTAAGCCGAGTCTCTTCTCTGTTCTGGCCGCGTGTGCTCTCGTCGCGATAATAGGATAGGTATATATCATCGGCGAGTAGAGAAGTCGTCGTTCGTCAAGCGCGAATGGAAAGCCTTCCCGTACGGATCCATTATTATAAAAATAACCTTTATCTCTTTTCCTGCTCCGACAATGGTTTATATACTCTTGAATGAGGGTAATCCTCTTTGTCGCGGAATAGAACGACGTCGTTTGCAAATTGTCCTGTATCGGAGCAAAAGTTCCGTGTGCAGTAGGAGACGGATACGATTATTCGTTTCCATAAACAGGCCGGAGACATAAAAGTATTCGGTAGACGCGTTCGTAGGCGGAACGAAAGAAAAAAGGAAAGAACGAATGAAAAAGCGAGGCTCGTTGGCTGCCGGCACGTAACAGCTCCCTAATTTTCTCGACAGCAATATTTAATGCGTTTCCCCTCGATCCCTGGCACCGGCTCCGCGGCTCTACCGTTTGCAACGGGACAGCGAGAGGGTGGCAAAATTATCGTGGCGCCGCTCCGACATCGGAACGGGACGCGAAACCGTACGCGAGGACCCTCTCTTCCAGGGAAACTTTCTCGTCCTGCCGGACGAGCAGCAACTAATCGCGCGCAACGACCACGGTGACGGCTAATTAGCGTTGCCGGAAATGAACCGTGCCACTGTTGGAAATTAATATCAACGTGTCTCGTCTTCCTCCTTTTGCAAGAATACCGCCAGCCACAATTCTCGACCCGTGCTAGACACCTCGCGACGATGTTAATTGAGTCGACGATTAAGAGAGTAATCGGCCAGGTAATTAGCGAGAGATCGTGATCCCGTCGCGATAGACACGCTGGTAATGTCGTATCGATGAGATCTTGTATCGCGCTAATCTGTTCGCTAGTTTACGCTGAAGATGGAGTTGCAAGTTGCATGGCGGGCTATTAATCCTTGTCAAAGGCGGGTTTACATTGGTAGTCACTTGCGCCAATTACCGGTACAAATAGCTGACTCGGTTAGTCTATCTTCTCTGTTTAGAGATCACTTTAATTTGTAAGAAATTAGAGAAATTTATGGAAACGAGTTAAGTCTCGGACGGCAGACCATGGAGAGAGCCACTGTTTTAATTGAATTTCATTTCAAGTTTATCAGAATTGACTCTGCCTGCGTTGTTAATGTACTTATGTAAAGTTAGCGGAACAATGCCTGGGTTCGATCAGGCCCAGAATTGAGAGATTGGCGCAGCATGGATAACCGGATATGAAACAAACGCGTTTTCATCCGTGCAGTCCGGCTACCGCCGACAATACGCGCAGAGTCGTCCTCTCGTTTTATTCGAATTTTCACTTTTTGACAATAGAACCGTGTCGTTACCGTTCGACATTTGCCATATCCGCAGTAACGTCGGCTTCAGATAGGGTGCGATTTACGAGTAACAACCCTCCGTGCTAAAACCTCCCCTAGCCGACTCTTGCCCGTTCCACGGTATTGTTGTTATAGCGACGTTAAGCTATCCAGACAATGACGGAGCTTCGTCGTTCCGGTAATCATTGGTCGTGATATCGGGGTCGAAATTTAATGAATTCGAAGTCTCGTTAATAACCCGCCGCGATAAATTCGCAAGTGACCCTATTATTCACGGTTCCTCTAATAATAATAATCTCGTTTCCCTTCGTACGCCTCTATTGCTCGTTTCGATGCGTCTCCCTTCCGCACAGCTGTAATTAACACTCTGCCCGCCGGAATCCTGTTAATAAACTTTTTGATGTACCGGTTATTCAGTCGAAACCAGTTAATGAGCTTTTGCTCGTCGATGATTCATTTATTATTACCCAAACGAAATTGTAAGATTGCAATCTGCAGACGTGATAATTAGAGAAATTGTGAAAGTACATCGAGGCTGAACTCGGAAAGGTAGGAAAGAAAATTACGTGTCACCCTTGTTAACCGTATAATAGCAGAAGTGTGAAACAATTATACTCTACCTTTTAGAGAGACGTTTGAACCAGTTGAAGCGTTAAAGATTCAGAATGGTAAACGAACAGGTGGACCGTTCCGGCCGGGAATCGAGCTCCTCTTTTATGTCGCGTGTCGCCGCTCGTCACGGTTAATTAGATCGTTACTCGTGGCAAATTCGTTGACCATATCTGGACGAGGGAACGCGGAGACACACCGTCGTTCACCGGCTATCTACTGGTCAACATCTTTTTCATTACACATCTCATCGTCTCGTCGACTTTCATTTTTCCCCTGGATCTCTGCCAACCTGCGATCCTCCTTATCGCGTTTCATTTCGCTGAGTACGATTCGCCGTTGTACGATTCGCATTTACGCGAACTTTGCGCCGACGAACGCACGATAGAATTAGTTATTGCACGAGTCCAAATAAAACCGAGTCGTTTGCGATCAAAGTTGAACGCGATCCCTTCCCTTGTATAATGAGAGATGCTAATGATCGCGAAACTTTCCGAAACAAATTCGCGTGTTTTGCTTTGAAGGCCTCTCGAAAAACACTCTGCCGGCTTCGATGGCTGGTCACTTTAGCTGGGCACTAATTGCACCTGAAGTGATCGATAGTTGCTGCTAGTTTTTCACCCTTTCCTTCCTGTTACGTCCTCTTTATTTTTTATTCACATCAAAGGTTATAACCCAGTTAACAGATAATCGCGTTAGAGGACATCAAACGGACTCATTCATAGTTCTTATTACATAATTCGGGCCACGTCTCCCAAAGGTTCCGTTTTTCATGGAACCTTTTATTTCCGCCGCTACTAATGGAACTCTCCATATGAAAGGAGAAACTCGAGCCCCGCGATTGTTCGGCTGTTTTATTGTTCGCATTCCGGGCAACGTTTAAGTGCGCGGAGAACGATCCCCGTGTTTCGTGGCTTCCGTTTAACCGTTTCTTTTTCCTTCATCTTGCAGAGACCTGAGACCAGCGAGCTTGGAAAAAGGCCAAGAGAACCTCAGACTCCGCGTGTACGGCTGTTACGCTTGGGGTGGCCCCCTTCTGGTCGCCGGTCTGGCCGCCCTTCTGGATCATCTTCCGCCTCAGCCTCAGTACACCTTCCTCAGGCCTCGTTTCGGCGAGAAACAGTGTTGGTTCTACGGTGAGTATCTCTCTTTCCAACCTTCTTTCGCCATTCATACGAAATTCTCGAGTTCGAACCGAGCCGCGCGAGCGTAACTCTCTTTGAATCGCGTCGCGAAAAGTTTGCCCCCCCTCTTCAAGAGTCGAGAGATCCGGAGGAGCTTGACTTTAATCAGAGCTCGAAAATTCAAAGGACCATATAGGGAGATGTTTTGGATACAAAATTATTTCGATATCATCATTGTAAAGCGAGTCTCGTGGGATTACCCGTTGCGACGATAACCGATTCCTAGGGTAAACGGAAGGAGACTCGCCGGGGCAATAATTAATTCCATGCTAGGAACAGCGGGAATTAATTTGATCGCGTCACACACGACTTATCAGTGAATTAATTTAGCCGGTGTCGGAACAACGGGAGATCTCTGCCGTTCCGTTGTTAGGACGACAGTCGGACCGGACTTGCTGACATTAGTAACGGATCAGTTGCACAGACGGTAATGGAGCCTATTATCGAAAGTAATACAGGCCGGGAAGAGAAGGACGGTTAACACGTCATTCCCTGTGATCCGATTATTCCGCTAATTAATAGGACTGGTCAGTCGTGTTCCGGCCGCTGATTAAATCGGTTTCGTTAATCGCCGGATCGATAGGGGATGAGCGTGTATTAATTGCTAATCGCGGTCTGTTCGCGGTGCACTTGCCTCTCTCTGTCGACGAAAAAGGCGATTTAACTGGAAACGTCCTGTACAAGAACCTCAAATTAATATTTGCAAATATACTCTATTAATATTATCAAAAAAATTTCGCGATGAAGGAAACGTGGATCCCTTGCGGTAGCTAATAGCGAATATTTTCGTTAAGAGGATTACAAGTCTCCCAAAATATCTTGTACGGTGCACCCAAATTTTCCGCTTCTTCCTCTCCCCTTACCCCTGTTGTCTCGCGGAGTTACGTATGCACGAACATAATCAGTCGAGATAAGAAACAATGGCACACGCTATCGGGTAGCGACACGGTGGCAGGCACCGGAATACTTCGCTAAGAGGATTACATAACTGCCGAAAGATTGTATTTAAGTGTGACACAGGCTGGTCGAATAAGAAGATCGATACCCTTAAGTACGGGCTTTAATGTCGGTAGATCCCTAATAATAACCGATGCAACCCCGGCTCACAGTTTCTGCGTACGCCGAATGGGGGATAATAAGGACCCGAACCGACCAATGTCGGTCGTCTTTATTCGCGGTTCAACCTCGGCATCGTTGTAGCCTATTTAACCAGCATCCCTTGGTAATCCAAATCTATTATACTCTCTTCTGTAATCCGACTGGTATATACACTTCCCCTTCGCTATCAGAGTTGCACAATATTCGAATAGAATTTTATTCGAACAATGGTAAAAAAAATAAATAAATCAGAATTGTGTTCGTTGATTTAAATAATCTTCGTGCAACACTTTGCCTCTCGAAATTCGGGAACTCTCCGTTCGTGTAAATATTCCTATCAAACAGTTGCAACTGCACGGCGTATTAATTTGCCGATATTTATCGACGCAAGCAGGAATATCAAACCCCTGGCGATTAATATTTAGCTTTTATATCCTTTGACAAATATAAACGCGGCCACATGGGGAGTACTCTGGTTTCGTGTATTTTCGTTTCGGTAACCAACGCGTTGTCGATGCGCGGCTGATTTTCGATCGGTTCCTATTTCATTTTTCGTACTTCCCTGTTGGTTCCTCGATTTCGGAGTTTCTGGTATGGCGCGAATTAAGCTTACGAGGTCATCGAGACCTTGTCTACCTCGTAAGACAGCGGTGCTCGTAAACTGCCGGGATTCTTGGAGCCTCGCCATCGTGGACCAGATCACGAGCTCTAATCTCTTACAGCTTGCTCTTCGATCGATTTTCATTAACGTCTGAACAATTTTCACTGTGGAAATTGAAATGTTTATTTGTCTGCCAGATTCTAATAACTTTAGAACATCGACGTTCTATTTGAAAGTGAAAATAAACACGAAAACCTTTCAGTGGTCACTAAAATTAAAATTCATCTTCGGTATCGATTCTTGATTCGAACACCCACGCGGGGGTTGATTGGAGGAGATGAAATTTATCGTTAGGAATTCAAGATACAATATCACGGTACACTGAGAAACACAATCAATCGTCGAGCAACACCCGTTTCGAAACACATTCACGAACCGGAACGCTCTTAGTTGATGTTATTTGTAAACACGCGAGGGCTGTTAAGCTAGTCTCGAGCTAAACGTCTTCCCGGGAAGACGTCTCTTCCTATAGGTGCTCTCGCGGCGTTAATTACATCGTGGAGGAGAATGCCAGAAAGCATCCTATTTACGTCTTCTAGGAACAACAACTTTCAAGGATTTTGTTCGTGTAACATAAAGATCGTGAGCCTTTTCCTTCACGTTCGTATAAATTTAATTTCAAATTCGTTTTCATTTCCTTAAGTTAATTGTAATTTATCTCCGAACCATCTGATCGATATTAATTCGAAATCCCGATCGTTAGCCGTGCCCGTCCAATTTTAGCAATTAAAAGTCGTCTCCCATTTGCTCGCCATGAGAGGATTAAAAATGGCGATCGAAAGCAGATTCACGATATCCAGTGACAGTGGACGGTATCGTATCTTCGTGTCACGTAATCGCATCGGAGCGAACGTGTAACGAGAGGAGAAAAGTGAAGTGCAGAGCACTCAAACGTGTCAATCCGATGGCGTGGCCACGCTTTTCTCCCTTTTCGCGCAAATAAAGCTAAGCCGGACAAAGGAGAGCGTGTAGCCGAGAAGCATGCAGGAAATAGAGTCGTAGCCGTGGCGCTAAATCAGGATAATGGTGCCCCATGGGAAGCTGCTTCGTACTATCGCGAGTTGTTACGCCGTGACACAATGCTTTTGCACGGCATCGGATGAAGGGTTCAGAGGGACGGTCTGTTCTGGAACGGACGTTATCCATGGCTTCTTCGACTGTATTTTAACCTTTACCTTTTCATTCTTCTGCGCCTGGCTTCTTATAGAAACAGCCATTTTTCTTAGAGTTCTGGCTTTGTTATGGTTGTCGGGTCGCTCGAGCGAGATCATCGATAATAGACAAAATTTCGTGATCAAACTTCGAAAAAGTGACTGTGTCGATATTCTTAATTAAAATAACTAATTTTTTGATCAGAATAAACAATGGATCGACCAATTTTCTAAATGGTAATGGACTTTGCAATTTGTTGCGTTGTACCATAAATCAAAAAGTCCATTACCATTTTGGAAATTGGATCTTCCCTAATGGACAATGCTAAACTGTAAATTGATCGATTCATCTTTACGATATACCCTTCCGAACGTGACTGGAGGGGTGACTTTCCCTCCAATCTCTTTAACAAAACAGAGAAAAATTGACCCTACAGTCAACCTGTTACAAGATTCAATTTACACTCTCCTCGAAGAACTGCTGTTACAAGCATAAACGACAATAAATATGCTAAAAGTTTGAACTTTGAAAGCTTATCCATCCCTCGCTTTCTGTCACCTTTCTTCCCCTCCTTTCCACCTTGTTCTTCTGATCGCGCCTGATTTTCATATTCGTTCCGACCCCCGTGTCTTCGTTTTCTCTCGCCCCTAGTTTCGCAAGCCCCGTTAAGCCACTCGGGAACAGCCCATAACAACGTGGGCCGAGACGATGGGGTCGAGAGATAAACCTGGCGCCAGCCAGTCCAACCCCTCCAGCCAGAAACTTCCTCGCGTTCCCCTTTCAACCCCCTTTCTCGTACCCCTTCTGTCGAGGAAGGGCCGACAGGTAATACCGGCAGGCGTAAGTGAATAGTTGGACTGCACGCGTGGAACGTTCGTGTGTATCCGTTGAATGCATAAACAGGCTGGAAACAACTTCCTTGGTGCGACGCGTGTCCCCGTCAACCTCGGGTTTAATTCGTAATTACTCAACCAGGGGGGATGGCGGCGATGAAAAGCGTTTTCACCCATTTCTACAACCGTGATACAAGTTTCTAAACAAAAGGAAAACGAATTAATGAAAGGTTGAAAGAGGAGAGAGGTGAACGGTATTCCCACGGGGAAACAGGGTAGTTGAGGGTGAATAAAGGGGGACGCGTAAAGGTGCGCTCATTGACAAACCGTTTGCATACATTGTTAGCAAATATTTTCTAACACTTATATTACTTGTAATGCACGTACTTCGACAAACCCTTTGATTCAAGTCCATGGTGAGTTGTTTATAGATGTCAGTGTGTATTCGCCTTAAGAAAACTCATTCTACCATCACATTGAAATTTTAGAAGCTTAGGACGGTATTCGAGCCGTCCCCTATGGCCTCTGGTGCACTGGCATTCTGGCGTTCCGCTTTTCCGCCGCACCCCATAACAACGTAGGCCGAAACGATGGGGTAGAGAGATAAATCTGGTGCCAGCCAGTCCCAACCCCCAGCGTGCGAAACCGGCGGAACTCTTGTTCTCCACCTCCGCTACCCCTTTCTAAGCCTACTAACTACCGTGCGGCCCACTAAACTGCACACGTAAACTCACGCACACACCGCGGTATGCTTTAAGTAGCTTCGAAACGAGCGACCCTTTCCTTTCCGTTGATACGCGTTATTGCTGCACCTGCACCGTCGATTCCCTCTCGTCCCGCCACTTATCCCCGAACAAAAAAGTCTCGCTGTTATTGTTGTTCGGAAACGCTTGAACATTGCAATTTTCAGCCAGGAAATTGCATCCTTCAGAGGCTTCCTGTTCAGAAGAAACAGCGAATCGGTAAACTACTGATACATAGGGAAAAAGAAGCTGGAGGAATGCTTGTACTCGTTATTCGAGATTAATGACTCTGCTTGAAGGCAAGAAAAAGATTCTTCTCGTATAATCTTGTATCGAATGCGATAGAAAACGCGGAGAACTGTTCGAAATTTATGAAGTAACGATTTGAAAATTTAGAAATTTTACAAATTCCTCTGGTTTTCTTTTCCAATGGATCGAGAAATTTTCGAGATTGCACACGTCGTG